GGGGGGGGGGGGGGGACACCTCGCGAGAAGCCTGTCCCCAAGTGCGGGCTCCTGGGCTACCCCACCCCATGTGTTTGTGTTCGCGTGCGGGTGTGAGCTTAAAACTGAAAGACCCAGGGAGGCTAAGCTCCTGCAAAACTAAAAGTGACCCAGGTCATTGTACCAGGAAGGAAAACTTAGACAAACAGGCAACAGAGAAACCAGAGGAGCATCTAGAAGCAATGCGGCAAATCGAAGGCTGTGTCACGTCAGCCCACCTAACAAACACAGGCGGCATGCTGAACCCCCGGGGAATGTTCTGGAATGCAAAGCTACATCTTTAACCAGCGGTTCAAGATGCCTTTGCTGTCGGGTGCCGTGAGGGATGCGACACGGTGCGAGATCCGGAGGGCGGGGAGGAAACACGTGGTAGGAGCACACACACACACACACACACACACACACACTCATACACACCCATGCACTTATACATACACACACACACACACGCGCGCACACACACACGCGTGTATACATATCTTGGTGGGAACTGTCCTTTCATTTCTATGGGAAAACCCAACAATGACAACCTACCCAGTCCTAACCTTAATCATAAGCAACCAAAAGTTTTTGCAATATTAGTTTTTTGCTTGCAGTCACAGACTTTTATAAAATTGAGCTTCCCCTTGTGTATACTGGAAACATGCCCCCACAAGAGAAAAGTAACAGGTTTTGGTTGTTGTGTGGCCCACCCACTCCAATGTAAGCAGAGGGCACTGCCCACCCCCGTCGGCCTGTCCCTCAAAGGACAGCCATTGTGAGGAGCAGGAGTAAAAGAGCCTGTCCTCAGTCCCAGTCCTCAGTCCCAGTCCTCAGTCCCAGTCCTCAGTCCCAGTCAGGGCAGGCGGGAGCTAGGGGGCTTAAGGTCTGTCCCACCCTCCGGCTTCCAAGGCCCGTCGGAACAAGGGAGTGTACTGCCTTTCAGCAGAGGGGGATGTGCCTGTTACCCCGGTAACCAATGGGTCCAGGCCATGCAGGTGGCTGCCGACACCCCCAGGAGGAGATCTGCGGTGTGTGAGGGGAGGGTACCCCAGCTAGCCCCTCCCAGAAAGGCAAAACGGGCCTGTCACTGTCGATTCACTCTGCAGCCTCAGTGCCGAGCAGGCTCCCCCCGGAGGCAGGGGTAATAAAACACTGCTGAACGTGCTTTTCGGATAGGGGGGGCGGGGGCGAACTGATGGGGGGAGGGGTGGTGCTGTCACGGTATTATTCTCGAGGAGTAGTGAGGCTTGTCCACAATCCTCGCTGAGGGAACGCTTGCTGACAGGGTCCCTACAAATGAAAAACTCGCATCGTGAGAATGCCCAGGGTGGCAAGTTCAAGTGGAAATAAACCCCCCCCCCCCCACAGACTCACACACAACACCCCCAGCCCCCACACCACTCTCTCCATCTAACGGCCCACTGCGCCAGAATAAAAATGACAAGAAATGTCCAGTGGAACGCAGCAGAGATTACTTTGGTGGGAAATCTAGAGACCCATTATCGACCGTCGTTCATTACACATTTCACTCATGTCCACCATGTTAAAATGGGCTTTCACACTCGGCTGACCTGACCGGACCGGCCCAGCCCGCTGCGGCTTACTCTCCTCTACCCCTTTTCTATTCTTTCTTTCTTCCCCGTCTCTTTTATTCTGTCATGACTTCTCTGAAGTATCCCCCATACCTGCCAAGTAAGCACTTTTAATGACAGGTGGGGGGGTGAGGACAGGGCCTTAAGCCTTTTGCTTCGAGTTAACAGCAGATCTTGAAAGGGATCCTCTCAAAATTAGAAGGGGGTTTTATAACATGGCCTTCCGGCATGATTAACTGTACTGGTTCACTTTTGCTATTTTGAGGACTAGGATACTGTGCCTGTGATCGGAAGTTCGCTGGTTCAAATCCCAGACTTGGCAGAGTAATGTCACCTTTGGGTCCTTGAGCAAGACCCTTAACCCCCCCCCAATTGCCCCAGGGACTATCTGTCCCTGCTTTCTCAAAAAACCTATGTGACCTGTAAGGGTTTTATCTGAGGAGCGTCACACGGAGAGGAGCGACAGACCCTGCGGCAGCGCCCCCTACAGGGCCTCGGTCCACATGCAGATGTCACGCCTCGCATTAAATGCCGTGCCATTATGGCAGAAGGTGGCACCCGGGACTTCCATTAGGGAACAAAGGCAGGCGGCTAATTAACATGTCTCTACGAGCCCTTGGCTTTTTAATTAAACAAAAAGCTCTATAGCGCAAGAAAAAGAACACACGGTTTTTATTGTCCCCAGCAAAGTCAGGAGGCGCACGTCACGTACCATCGCCACATAGCCCGGGTGTCGCCATGGGAATGCCATGGGTACCGGCCTCCCCCCAATCACACAGCACGGAGGGCGGGGTTAGAGCTAAGCCTGCCTGACGGGGGCGGCGGGCCAGTAACCGGAGGTGCAGGACGGGCAGGAGGCTGGCTAACCTGACGATGATCTCTTACATCACTCTGTGAAAAGGGACCGGCCCAATCGCCTGCCTTGCTTACATCAGGCCACCCCCCTATGTCACCCCCTCGCTTCTCACTAGTCCTGCCACCAGAGGGTGTGGCAGAGTCTGTCACCATCCCCCCTCAAAAAGGGTGATTCTCAAGGATCTGTATATAAACCAGCACAAAATGGGAAAAGCCCCTGGAACACAGATGGGACACTGATGTTAAAAACTGGGTGGGGGTGTGTGTGTGTGTCAGTGTGTGTGTGTGTCAGTGTGTGTGTGTGTGTGTGTGTGTGTCAGTGTGTGTGTGTGTGTGTGTGTGTGAGAGAGAGACTTCCTCATCTTACCCACTTCCTCTCCACATCAAGCCTGTACTAGGAACCTCTAGCCAGAGTTCAATCTAATTAGTGTGGTTTGTTAATTAAATGAACGCGGCACTAACGAGGTAACCTGCTGTTCCTTGATAATGTTAATTACCCTGAAGGGAAAACCTCTCAACACGGCCATTTAAACTGTCAGCCTGCAGTCGCCGTTTATTATTGATGATTATAAAACTCCAGGTTTTTTTATGCAGACACACACACACCCCTCAGTCAGACCAACCTCGGCGAGTATAACAGAAAGCCCCCCCCAGCACCAGACCACGCATAAAAAAAGAATGATAGTGACCACCCGCGGGCCACCGTGTGATATCGTGACGTCGCCCGGGCCGGTCCTCGGCACTACCGCTTAACCCGAGCTGCATCTCCTCAGCGGGGGCCCTGAGGAGCAGGAGGCAGCGGAGCACGGATCCATCCAAGCCCTGTCCTGCTCACTGTCCCCCCCACACCCACCCATGTATACAAGTCACATTGTCAAAACAGAAGCGGCAGTGGCCTCGCCCCCATTACCGCTGCCTGTGCCCCCCCCCTTACAGCTTCCCTGTGGCCCAGCCCATTACCGCTACCAACCCGCCCTGCTACTCCTCACAGCCTCACTTATCTCTGCTCACAGCTCCCACCCCCCCCCCCCCCCCGCCCTACCCAGACCACACACGCCTCCCACCCCCCCCCCCCTCCATGCTCATCTATGCAATCAAAAGTTGGTCCAGGTGTGAATAAAACAACCCCTGAACAGTAAGAAAAGATTTTGCGGATTCCACCTCCTCGGGATACGAGGGGTTCGAAAAGTAAATCCAAACAATTCCGGAAAAAGTATAAATTGTGCAGAACACCCCAGGAAACAAGCCCCGCCCTGCAGGAGTTCTCGCTAAAGCACGGCATTCCTGACACAGCAATTTGAAAGGGTTCCACTAGTCCTTTGAGAAGCAAGGCTAAGTCCTCAGAACCCCCAAAAGGCCTTACACAGAACCTCAGAGTCTAGACCCTCAGAACCCCAAAACCCCAAACAGAGAACCCCAATGACCTGGCTGTAAACACCCTTAAGTTCTATAGATAGATCCAATTTTATAGGTAACTGGATGTCCTCACCCAGGAGAACATCAGCACAGCAGAGCAGTACGTAATGACTAAGTCTGCGTGTGTCAGGGAGAGATGAAGGGAGCGCAAGAGAGAAGAAGGAAGAGAGAGGGAGAAAGAGAAGGAGAGAAAGACGGAGGGAGTGAGAGGGAGAGAGGGGAGGGGGGCGGCGAGGGGGCTCACCTGCACGGGGGCCTGCTTGACCTCGTTGCTGCTGGGTGAGCTGAGCCCGGTGGCCTGCTGAAGCAGGAACTGACGAGCAGCCTGCAGGGCCTGGGGGGGGAGAGAGCGGTCATACTGGTGAGCCAGGCACTGTGGAAAATGGCAGGCTGCCATCATCGTCATTAACGCAGTAAACCCCCCCCCCCCCCATCTCCCCCCAATGCCCCAAAAAGAGGGCAGCGCCTCCCCGTCCCACTTCAGCCCAGAGCCCCGTGCCAAAACTGACATGTCCGATTAGGTGGAGGAGCGAGAGGACCCCGGCTAATGGGCCCCCCCTTGGGAGCACGCCTGTGTGGCACTGCTCCCCCCCACCTGCATGGTGCAGCCTTGCTGTTCGAGGTAACACCCCCTCTTGTGGGATTTAGGGATCTGGCCCAGCACCCCCTCTGGGAAAACCAGCCTCCAGACAGGGAAGCGAGCGAGATTTGCCCCCCCCCCCAAAGTGATAAGTCACGGCTCTGTGTAAACAATTTTTTTGGGTCTTGCCCCAAAACATGCCAGGAGTGGACGGGGGGGGGGGGGGGGTGGGGACGATGGCGATGGCCCCACATCCGGCTCTGGTTGGCTACCTTCCACCAATCGGCGAGGCAGCAGCTCCTGCTCAGCCTCTCTCTTAAACACGAGGATCACTAGGTGCACACCTACGTGCACCACAGCCTTACATCTGAAGCTGTTATCCTTCCATTTCACCGTGAGAAAGAAAAAAAAAACAAGAAGTTTGTTCTTACGATAACTTTCCAGTTATTCCGGACGTACCACCTTATCACAGAGGAGATTCTTTTTACAACAGTAAACTATTGGGAAGATTAAGAAAAGGCATCCAATCAGCTACTGGCTTTGCTGTGTCTGTAATTATGACATGTGGGCCCGTGCTGGTGGGTGGTATAACCCCTCCCCCCCATCTCCAAGAAAACACATGTGGTGTAAATTACTGCGCACAGTCATGGACAGACCAGTGCGGTGTGTAGGAATGGCCGTGCCGATCAGCGGTTTATTAATATCCGATATGTGCGCATTACACGAACGTCCCCATCTGACTGCTGCCATCTCTCATGCAGAACGGGCTGCTGCTCTGCCTCACAAGCGACAAGTGGAAATATGCACATATCGAGCGAAGAGCTCCTCGGGGCAGACGGAGCGACATGGAAACACAGCGCACAGGCAGGTCTACGCTGACTAATGTTACACAAGGCATATTTCACGTACCACAGATTTACCCTCCCCTGTACCATTCCGGGCATCCAACAGGAGAAACACAAGCCAAAAACATACTACTAATATATACTAAAGAACACATTAAAAGAATGAAAAAATGAAGTGTGAATTTTTGCGTTGAAGCTTCTGTAAACTTGATGCATCTTGGACGTCGGTTTTGCGTTTCAGGAGATGCCCGTAACGTACAGAGACGCACACATGCCGTCTTGTTTTACGTGTAATACAAAGATGACATTAAAAATGTGGGACAGAGGACTTAGTTCTCCTCTTCCCAGCGTCACCCAACCTCCACCAGCACGCAGATGGGACCCCCCAACCAGCCCCCCCCGCAACGTGGCATTTGCTCAGGCATGCTACACCTTTAAAGAAAATATGGGGTGGAGTAGCAGTGGTGTTGGGGGGGCAGCCAGTGGTGTACAAGAGCACCATTGTGCGAGCGTGCCGGACAGGTTTTACTACAGCGTGGGGTGGGGGTGGGGGCACGAGGGGGGGCGAGGGGAAGGGAGGGTGAGGAGGTCACATCCCAGCTTGGAGGCCGGGCACGGAGCGTGGGGCCCTCCCAGCCTTTCAGCGGGGCCCACTGTAAATCAACACCCCCGACGACGCCCTTAATAACAGCACATTTTTTAATTCAGCAGGGTCAGGGCCTGCGGAGGGGGGTGGGGGGGGGCAGCCTGCACATTCATTTATTTATTTTTCTTCTTTTTTTTCCCCCCAAACCTGTGCTCAGAAAAATGCCTGACGTGTGGGTTTTTTTCTCCTTTGAAGGGGTTACGGCAGGAAGGGAGGCTGGCAGGGGGAGGGGCGAGGTCTAAAAGAGAGGGAGGGAGAGGAGGAAGGAGGGAGAGAGAGAAGGGGGGAGAAGTGAAGTATAAAATGATACCACTGTGTGTGTGTGTGTGTAACAGTCTCGTCATGGCCACAGACACCACACAAAAAGATGGAAAAGTTATATGTTTTGTCTTTACACATCACATAAATCACAGAAATAAGTGTGAAGAAATGAATACTGAGACAGGTTGATCCACGGCAGTTTTGGTGGGGGGGGGACAGGTGGGCACCAGATGCGGGCAGGACCCGGCCGCCGCTGACAGAGGGCCATTGTTGACAAGCCTGTGCTTTAAAAAAGAAAAAAAAAAAAAAAAAAAAAAAAAA